GTAGCCCATGAAGTGCAAGCTCCAAGCGTCTAAAAAATTGCATTGATTTTTAATATTTATTTTTTTGCTGGCGGATTTTTGAACTTTTTTATCCATATAAGCAAGGATTTCTTATGAAGTAAAATGCGGGAGAGACCGCTCGCAACAAAATTTAAAAAAATCAACGCCAGTTTTAAATATTACTTGAAGAACCGAAACAGTAGTCACAAAAAAAAATATATATCAAAAATCAATGCGATTTTTTAGCTGCTTGAAATTTGCACTTCATGAAACTAAAATTGTAAAAAAAAACTATTTTAAAGTCACATGTCATTAAAGCATATTTTAATTGTCTTTCGAACAAGATACTGCTTGCGTTGATCGCAATTGACAGTGTTTAGCAATAAACAATTTTGAATGAAGTGATACCCCAAAAAACACCAAATTAACGTTATTTCAAAATACTTGTGGAAAAATACATACATCAAATTCTTTTATACAAATTTTAAAGATACCTCCCTCCCTTGAGCGGAAACCTCTCTTGTTCGGGAAAAAGTCGACTGGTGAGTATGCGCTCAAGGAACGTTTCACTGTATATATATTTTATCAGTTTAAAAGCTTTTTGGTGTTATTACAAAATGTCCTAAAACATTTTAACCAGGGTTCCGGAGAAACGGTTTTTTTCATCGCTCCGCTCTAGCCCGCTCCGGTATTTTATTTCGCTCCGACCTATGCTCTTTAAACTTTAAAAGAGAAAAAATCGCTTACTTTTTTTTGCGGTTAGGGCTCGATATACAAATGTATGTATGTACATTAGGCTGTCAAAAAAACCAAGTTGTTTTTTTTAACGCATACCCTTTCATTTTATTGGTTTTGTGCTAAAAACTACCCAACTAAAATTTTATGCAATTTGGACTACGGCAACCCGTGCCGACTTGCAATCAAAATTGTCAGAATAATCTTTGTACATTTCGCGTGTTTTGCTAACTTACTTATTTTGTTTTCATATAAGGCGGTATTACTATACTCTCTACAGCAGGCATGCCCAATGCCGGCAGAACTGCATAAGCAAGTGCCGTGCGCTGGCAGAATTCTATAGGCAAGTGTGTATAATATATTTCGAAAAGTTTATACAAAATATGTATATACTAGTGAACCCGCATGGCATCAAAATGCCAACATTAAATTAAATTTTTTAAACAGTGTTTAACAGTGACAAGAGGTCTCGCATGGTGTCGGTTTTCATTTCATCAAATTTCAAATCTCCCTGTAACTTCAAAAAATAAAACCTGTGCACATCTATATAGAATCCCCAGTTCTTTAATTTGAATTCTCATTTTGGAAATTCGAAATAACTGTGCAGATGTGATCACCTTAAAAAAAAAATAGATGGCAACTCTAATTAAAAATATTATCAGCCTATAATAGTTTTCTTAAAACTCTTTCGTTTGACACTAATATTTCGATATTTCATTTATATAACTTTCGTATAAGTAAAACAAAATCGACTTTTCAAACAGGTGGCAACCCCTTTATAAGTATTTTCAAACTAAAATCTTTCGCCTGGCATTGTTGTATTTATTTCAATTAACTAATGAATTAAGTTGAATTTAGTTTTTTAAGCACATGGCAACTCTCCTAAATACAGTTTAGAAATAAATTATTTTCAATAATTCTCGTTCTTTTGATAACCACATTTTAAAAATGCATGTAAGTTTTGTATAATTAAACGAAATACCACTTTCAAACCAGGCGGCAACCCTCTCAAAAATTAATTTCCTTAAATATTTTTCGTCTGACATTGTATTCCATGTAACTGATGAATTGAGTTGAAATTTATTTTCCTAAATATAGTTCTTAAATCAAGGATTTTAAGCCCATTACCATTGATTAGTAAATCATTTAACTTATTAAATAAGTTTGTTTAGCCCTTTAAACTGGGGCAACCCTCAAACACATCAAATATGTTCTAAATTGTCATACTAAGTATTTCTTGAAGCTCTGTCATTTGACATCCATATATCCCATAATTAATATATCCCATCCATTAATATTTCATATAAAAAATAGTTCAATTAGACGTCTCAAATAGGTGGCAACCCTATTCCAAATATTTTCAAACTACTACCTTCTTAATCCTCTTTTGTATGACACCCATATAGCAATACCTTATTCACCTGCCTAATTCCTTTAATTAAAAATGAATTACTTGTCAATGTTATTGTGGCTTGTTAACATTTTATTTTTAATATTTTT